GATAGCTGTACGCAGACTGCACATCCCCAACACGCGCTGAATGATGATATACGACCAACCCTAAACCGAAGTCATAAACCTAACGTTATTTTCTCGTACTTACGATTATGTTCTCGTTGATTCCGTACAATAGTCGTAAATTTAAAAAAAAAAAAAAAAAAAACGTCTGACACAAACTAAATATTTTACTACTGTCACTTTAGTACACATGGCATAATCGATTTCAAGTAAGGTGTTTGTCTGTGTGTAATATTTTTATCCTCCCTGTGATTTACAACTAATTAGTGACATATATGTGGATTTATTGTGGGTGGAAATGTATAAATAAACAAGAACAAACACACACACAAACAAACAAACGCATATATAGCGTAACGATGGCTTTGCAGGCAGCGTTGTGCACAGTTGTTACATATACAGACTGCCTGGGTTTCTTTTCACGATGCAGTACTAACAACTTGCCCAGCCATAGATCTTAGAACAAAAGTAATATAGGAAAAATTACAAGTCCAAAAACACACAAAAAAAAAAACAAAAAAAAAAACGTCCGACAGCAATCGATAGAACAATCCGCACGAACAAAACAGCTGAAACAACCTTCATCCACTAACGACACATTGAATAATCCCAATAACACAGGGATTGACGGACTGATGTCTCGAAAACTGTAAACTGCTGCTATTGCATCAGTCTTCGGTTCTGGCAAATCACCTCAAATTCATTTTTTTATATCGTAGTCTTATGTTGTCCCTATTTATAAATATATATCTGAATGGCGTCAAGACTTCAAGTTCATCTGCAGCTTGAGACAGGGCGCTGAGATCAGCCACAAATTCGACCTGTATGTATGGTGTGGTCAAGAAAGAGTAACAGACATGAAACAAAACTATACATACCACTAGAAAATACACTAGAATAAATCTTTGCCGCATGTACATCACTTAAAACACCTAGTTCAGTTTGCAATGCCGTTTTATCCATTGTAATCTAATGCAGTTTGGAAAGGAACTGATTAAAAACCAAAAAAAAGGACATTTTTTATGATGGTAGCTTGTTAAAACGCTACCTTTGTGTGTGAGTTTTTACGACCGACTATTTCATTAAAGCCCTACACAGAGAACCGTGTCTTAAATACTGTTAGATATCAGGAGCGTCTGTGTCATGTTAGGCAAGTTTGGCTGGTTGAAAGGTTGCCGTTTTTGTTTTTTTTTTTTTACAAAGAATACGGGATCTCATAGAGATGGCTTCCTAGCAAGACAATTCAAATCATTTGCGTAACTCACTGATGGTGGTCGACATACCGAGTATTCCTACTAATCGTTTTACTTTTGATTACGTTCACAGAAATGGCAGGTGTTCGCTATAATTAGTATCAGGGTGTATGCCCGGGCTTTGTTGAAATAATACTGTGAGCAAATTAGACATACCACGCGACAAATTTGCCCGAACTCCCAATTGCAGAGAGCCCACCATATCGAACCACAGTGACTGTAAGTGGTCCGCATACTTACATAGAGAATTTGTTCCAACATCCGATATTAACATTTTTATTCCGTATTTTCATCCTTTTTGTATGAAAATATTTCAAAATACTGTAGAGCCAAATTATAGCCTGATATCAAAACATTCCTGGTATGCGTATATGGTAGAGCCTCTTTTATCCCCCCCTTATTTATCTTTACTAACTTTGTTTCCTTAACACTGCTTCAAATCTCGTCGTAAACAGGAGTTGCTGTTATACTACTCTTTTACTATCTACTAGTGGTTTTCCGTAATTCATATTTTTCCACAAATCCGTTAATCCGCTGCAAAACTCAGTACAGTTTACCTCAGTGCTATCACAAATATTGCGGGGCAAATTATGACGTTTTTTTTTTAAACTGGTAAACCCGCCATCTTGACTTCACCCACCAGCCAGTGCCCCTGTCTGTCAGCGACGTCCTATAAAATAGAGCATTAATCACTACACAAAACTCGAAGCTTTTAGACTCAAGTTAACTTCCTTTTACTGTTGAAGAAAAGAGACAATGACATGGAAATACGCCGGCACCTGACAATGTTAACAGAGAAAAAACACGCCATCTTGTTTGTCGATGAGCGAGGCCGTATGTTCATTTCTGTCGTGGATATTATAATTACTATGCCAGTTGCTATACACATACAACCCATTCATGGCTTTATTTTGTCAGTGTTGAAACCAGTGTTAAATCAAATGTACGACAGACGAAGCTGATAAGTTCGTGGTATTTCTAAAATTAGTGACGGTAAAATCATATTTTCAGCTGAGAAAACTAGTAAAATTCAATTTTTAGAAAGCGACATCGAAAAGAAGCTGCATTTGGTCATCTTGGTTTGTGGTAAAGAAATAAATCACCCTCCCGTGTCTTGCCTGGAATACTCATTAATAATTTATTTCAGTTAGGTAAATTTACGACCTGATCAGTGCAAGTTCCTTTCAAGGTCACGTGATTTATATCCACGCTGTCGAAACGGTATTGTTGTTATAGTTGTCCGATTGTGACCCGCACCGCGATATTTACACCAGTGTTATTGCGAGTACAACCCCCGCAATGGCGGGTTCGATTTCGGGGGTAGCGGAACTTTTATTTCAAAACACCGCTGATAACAGACACGCATTTCCCTCGTATTTCGGTGTCTCTCCCAAAAGCGTATAGAATGACGCCTTCACCGCGGTTAGTCTGGTCTCACCGACTTGGTAAAAATTGTGCAAAATATCAAATGTATTTGAAAGCGTGAGTTTTTGGTTGACTGACTAGCGCCTTTCGATTCACATACGAAATATACATATCGTGATCGCCGACATCCATATATGTAGATGGCAACCGGTTGCTATAGTAACATCCATGTGTAAAGTTAAGAAGAAATCGCTTCACAAAATTACATTTTTGTTTTGTTTTCGGCTAGTCACAATTAGATCATTTGATAACGAGATAAGCTTTACACATAATTTAACTTCCTCTAAATACAATTATGTTGAAGATGAATATTTCCTAAAACAAGTATTCAATGTTTAATTTTGATGTTAATTGTGGATTTTTTTTTTCACCGATTCCTTGATGTTGTAGTATCTACCGTGACGTGTTATATTTGTAACTGATTCAGTGAGATCCGGTCACCCCTTCGTACTCGTTCATCAACGTTACCGCCGACGCCGGGCACAAACGATGCTCAAATCTGATTTTCTCTGCCATTACTTAGTTAACGAAGACGTGAGAATATGGCAAGCTTCGTACCAATAACGAGCCTCCGCGGACTTGCTCAGCAATCAGTGATCTGCTTTCTGCTTGACGACCTGCGTCTCTTGGAACCGAACTGCCAAACCGTGAAGACACCGTGACGTCGCTTGCTGCTTCTGTGTGGTTTGCTTGAATCAGTACTACAGCACCTTTCGCAACATGCTGACAAGATAACCAGTCCACGTGTTCTTATCTGTGTCTCATAATGATAACCTGTTTCCAATACGTTCTTCTCCAATCCACAATTACAATTCCCATGTTGACACCGGCAGTCCCGTTGTCATCAGTTTTAATCACCTCCTCGATTTCGTTTTTCAATTGAAAAAGTTTTTCACAAGTTACGATGTTTTATCCCAGTTGCGCCCACTAGTCGATATCCCACAAATATAAACAATATTTGGACTAGAACATTTTTCTTTGTGTTATTCACTTTCTCGAGAATACTGAACATTTAACATTTTGTTTCACAAAGACCGGAAGTAACTAATTCAGATTGCAGGCAATAAACACAGGACCTATGTGTTTATTTAGAGGATTGTCTTAATTGCCTGTAATTAAAATATCGAAAGATAAATAACAAAACAAATATTATTAAAAAAGGCCACTTTTCTGTGATCGAAAATGCGAGTGTGAATAATTAGAAAATTATTTAAATGCCTGATTCCCCCCTAAACAAGGTGGCGGGTGACTCATTAGTCGCCGGTGATTGGTTAATTAGAGCGCATCGTAGATAGTGTTCGATCTCATCTGTCTTTCGTGTCTTACGTAATCCATCATCGTGATGTCATAATCTCCTCCCATCCAACACTGCCGCTCCGTACGAGTATGGGATTCCCTGATATATATATATATATATATATATATAATTTTTTTTTACATTTAATTTATATTTACTTAAGTATATCTTTCATCTTATAAATTCCCTCGCTGATTTGGTTTAGTTGTTCGGTGGTTACAACATCATGGTGGCGGACAGAAGGAGTACTGTTTTTAGGCTGAAGAGACAGGGTCGTGCCCACAACCCAATACAGCGTGCATATGAAAGTCATCATGTTAAAATGGCGTTAAATGAAAACATCTCTAAGCTAGTTAATCCAAATTTTAATTAAAACGATTGAGCATAGCCTAATTTTACCAAATGATACTAACAACCAGTCATAAATTAAAGTGGCACGTGACGTCACATTGACTGGGTACGTAAAATAACAGAATGATACTCAAGTTTAAACTCACTAATCACCATGACAGCCATGTTATTGATAACAATTGTAATAGATACGTTAAAGATACAGTTCGGTGGCGTAATTCGCTACCACCAGCAACAACCGTACAATAACCAAAAGCAATATGTGCTGCCTTTGTAATAAAAAATCACCCCACTCAAAATAGTAAACCGTTTTCAACGAGTCAATAATGCATTCAGTCGATACTCCGATGTAGCTCTCCCGGAAGCTGATTTTTTCCTCCGACTTTCTGGGCAGAAGACCATGTGTTTTGTCGAAGTGAACATATTTTTTTTAATCAAATCCCACACTACCGCCAACCTACCCAGGTCCTCCATACATCGATATACAAGATTATAAACTGGACACGGTTCGTAATGGTTCTTCCTATGCGGCCTGTCTATCACTCATACTACTGGTATGTGATTGGCTCCTGGATAGTCACGTGAGACAGCGATCGCTGCTTTTTTTTCTGACAATGTCAAGACCTGCGAAGGAAGCCAAATGAGATTGATTTGCGTGTGAGTAAAGTGGACAGAATGCAAAGCGCAATGTATGACAACTCTCATCATGAGTACGGTGGTCTGGGTTACCGAAACAGCGCTGAGGACCCCGCCATAGAACAGAAAACTGCCTACTTCAACAATGGTGTGAATACAACGTATAAATACAGGCCCGCGAACTTGACGTGCACCAGCGCGGAGACCAACGTGAATGATGCCAACAATACGAGACAGGACTATAGCATGGCCCCGGCGTACGCGGCTAACACTGTCAATATGATGAGCACTGTCGGTCAAGAGTCAGAACTGTCCGCAGGCGAGGGGTCACCACAAAGGGCTATGTACGCATGGATGACCGATCATCGCCATTTCAACCACAATACAGGAACAGGTTGGTACAATTTACGATGATTTCATATTTTTTATTATAGTTTCAACCACACACACGCGCATATTCACTCACTCACTCACTCACTCAAAACGAGAGTTTCACGTCTGTGTTGTATTATACATGGAACCGAGTCATCGTTGCTCAAAATCTTAAATATGATTGAAAACATGAATGTTCTAAAATCTAAAAAATAAAAATAGCAATAATCCGTTTTACGTTGTTCTAACTGTTCTCCTAAACAAACTCAACATCACACAGTTGGCTACCATAATGTACGTGTATTGTGTTCTTTCCAGCCGTGTTGTATGAAATATGTTTAAAAAAACAGAGAAAGAGAGAATTTTCAACTTTTAAGTACATGTAAAACGTAAAAAACAAAACAAAAAATTATTGAAGATAACAGAGATTGTGAAAACTTAACAGAGATAGTTCCGCTGCATATCACGCCATTTGCACTTGGTCTCCGTGAAAAATGCGGTGATATGCTTCCAATATGCGCAGAGAACCACAGAACAAAACGTAAACACAGTCTACCGTTAGAATTAAAACTGCTATGATCTAAACACGTGATGCTACAGTAATATACGTCGTTAATGCCACGATAAATTACGTGTACCCTCGTTTCAATGTTTATTATAAACCCACCCACGGAGCTCTGCTTGTGTTACTTTGTGAGTCGTACGTTCAAACCACCCCCATTAGCAATGTGATGAAATCGGCCATTTTGAAATGAATTTGATAAACTTTAACCCGACAATCGATCTAATAATAATTTAAGGGAAACAATGCCAATTGTTTGTATTGTTTTTGCGAAGAAAGCCATCATTACGTGTTCGATCTCATTGTTTACTACTTCAGTGCCACGATCTCTCGGAATACATCGGTCCAGCCTTTATGGGCGGGAAACATACACAAACATACAAAAAATAGGTTGAGCTTGTATACTCGTTTTGTTCAGCGTTATTTTGGAGAATATGCCAAGATCTTTTCGTTTGTCTACCGTAAAGCGAACCGTTACACGTCAGGCTCACCTCATACAGGTCTTGCTTCGGCATATTTCAAATATGAGCCAAACACACGGGAACATACAGAGTCTCACGCACAAAAATAAAAAAAAATATAACGTGTTTTTCACGCAACGTTGATGTTGATATTCTTTTATTCTCGGGGTCAGAGTTCAAATTATAAGCAATAACCGAACTCCCATCAATCAGCCCAGCATAACTCGTGTTATGAGTGAAAGGAACGGAGTCACATCGCAAACTAGCGTTCGTTATCACTAAACAAACGTAATTAAATATCTAGTGCACAGTGACTTGTGTTTTGGTCGATAGCACTGCATCCTTAATACGTAGACACAGTATCGCGTCGGATACCGTACTCTCCGATTACCCAGTGTGCAAGTTTTTGGAAATAACACACAAAATTTGAGGAAATTGTCATAATTAATAAATGATTCTAAATTTCTCAATAAATATTACTCTCATAACAAGCGAAATACAAAAAACATGTATGAATTAGTATGCTGTTTTAACTAAAAAAAATATGCGATATTAAAACTGTTCTCACCCTATTTCATTTTGAGAGTGCTGGAGGGTGTTATTTTAAATATTATTTATTCTTAATGTAGCTGATTTTCAAAGACAAACAAAGCAAAACAAACTCAGAAAGTGTCCATTTTAAAAAAGCTCGCTAAAATTCACATTCTTCAGTTGAATACTCGTAACCCACTCACTATCACCACTTTCGACGGCGTAAATGCAACTATCATGCCACTCACGTGCTCTGATCGATCCAATGTGGCATCCGTAGTATGGGCCTGTCTTATATCTTGTATTTCGCCTTGGATTTGACATTTGATGCGATCAAGATAAGTAAACGCATTAGCCAAGACGGAGACGCCACAATAAACGTGGCCTCGTTAAACAAATATTTCAAGTTATCGTGAATGTCACATGCAGATATCGGAACAGATTTCATATTGTTAGTGTAATGTTATATATTTTCTACGTTCTAAAATAAAACAATATATTTACTAAAGTTATTTTACATTTTTGAGCGTTCTTCCCACAGTATGTGTATGCAATTAACATGATTTAAACGTGTCCCATTTCAGACGCTTTCAATTGGATTAGATGTGATATTTAACTGATATTTGAGACTAGTTACATAATAATTGTTATTACTACAATAATTTAGTAACAACTAACACGATGCTACCTGAGGAGAATGGGAAGGGGGGGCTCTTACTTAGAGATATATGTAAATATAGCCAATCAGATTGAAAATTCCTTCCTACTATTGCTCGATTTCACCTTGCAAACAAGCACAGTCTCACTTGAAATATCAACAACGTAAGTTACCATTTATCCGAGCCAAAACATCCCATAGTTGTATTATGTGTCGTCATAGATACCCATTATAATATCACGTGACATGATTACTTATTTATCATCCGGGTACACACTCTGTGGGTCAACAACTCCCTGTCCGTTATGTAGGTTTGTTACATGTGATTTGATGTTTCTTGTTACTTTACATAATTAGCATACATGTATCTTTTCTTCACTCGTAATATCTTATTGTACATTACCTCATCTATTACTGTATTATCTCATCATATCCCATCTAATTCAATCTCATCTCACTTCACCTCACCTCACCTCATCTCATCTCATCTCATCTCATCTCATCTCATCTCATCTCATCTCATTTCATCTCATCTCATCTCATCTCATTTCATCTCATCTCATCTTATCTCATTCAATCTTGTCTCATCTCAACTCAACTCAACTCAACTCAACTCAACTCAACTCAACTCAACTCAACTCAACTCAACTTGTCTCAGAGCATCTCGTATCTCCTCTTCTCATCTTATTTCATATTACCTATATCATTCCATCTTACATTATCTCTTCTGCACATTAGTTGGTTGATTTATTTTAATTACAAATTAAAAAGTTGATTAAGCTCTAATGTCATGTTATTCGTTGACAGCATCGTCTCAACAAAAGCATGGTGATACACAGAATGGAAGATCTCCAATCAAAAGAATGAGAACGAACTTCTGTACAGCCCAGCTGGTGGAATTGGAGAAAGAGTTTAGATTCAACCGATATTTGCAAAAACAGCGGAGAACAGAGTTGTCCAGCGTGTTAAATCTGACTGAGCGCCAGATCAAAGTCTGGTTTCAAAACCGGAGAATGAAATTCAAGAAGGAGATGAAAGACAAAGGTCTAGTGGACCCATATCAGGCGGGCATGACCTGCGTCACCACCGAGACGAAAGGGAATGAAGACAGCGAATACAACGTTGCTCTCCCACCAACACAGCCCAGTGAAGAAAATAGTGACTTAGTGTTCCATTACCATGACAACAAGTCTGGCTGTTTTGGCGGCGCGAACGAGGACATGAGCTGCCGAGAGTCAGTTCCCCATGAACCAGCAGCGTTCCACATAACTCAGCTTTGAATGGCCACAAAGTCTGCGTACTCACTGATAGTCTGGGTTTTGTTTTCTTTTAAACGTAGGCTTAAACCACAGGGTAAATTATTGACGAAAGTCATGAAATAAACATTTCTAACTACCTCAAGAACTCTCAGTACTCTGCCGATCCTCTGACGTCACCTTTTTAAAAAAAAAATTCAAGTGATTACCGATCATTCCAGAAAAATACTTTTCACCAAGAAAGCTACTTTTAGTCGTACGAATTTTGGTGCCGTTACGGCTACGAATTGCGTAATGTTTTCAAGACGTAATTTATATTGCAGCTTACCATTCACGTGATTGACCTGGTCACACCCTGCTCATTAACGAGGTCAACATTGTTTGCCGCGAAAGAGGAGATATCAATGCGCGCCCTGAGAACGTTATTTCACTAACGTTACAATAAAATTCATAACTTATGATGCATATTAATTATTAACAATACTTTGGGCAACATATGACGGTCGCCTGAACTCAAAATACTCTCTATTTGTTTGTGCCCTACCCCGACAGAATCAACTGAAAATTACCGAAGTATAGGCTGGCATGATCATTACTAAAATTTGATGAGAAATTATGACATGTTGGTGTAGTTTAGACACGCAACATAACTTTTTTATTTGAGAAAGTTAACAATTTCATCGGATAAACATTGCACAGAGACTACACTCTGCAGTCTCCATCACTGAAACGAATCTATTGCAAACAATGACAGGTCTACCCATGATTTTGCTTTCAACGTTTTAACCTATTTGCTTCGAATACACGCACCGATAACTTGCCCACAATCCACTTGCATGATTTTGCGCCTGTTTTTTTTTTCGGATGGACAAAGGAAAACACGAAAAATACGAAATGCATATCCGACTCCCCGTATTTATCTAGCAGGACATCTCTGATTGGATGATAATTGGCAGGCTTTGTTACAATAACTGCGATTGGCTATTGACCTGCATATGCCCCCCCCCCTCATCAGAAATGCGTATAGTATTTAGAATGTAATAAGAATAAATCCCGATCCCATTACGTGACAAGTCATCGTCGCATAGGGATATCTTTTAAACCGGCCTTCAATGCTGGTGTTGTGTATGTAAATCTTCATCATAAAAACCGTGTCATAATTGTGACACTTTCACTGTGCGGTAATGCACTGGACCCGTATCCATGGAAACCCATGAACAAGAATGACTTGAATTAGTGACGTCATAGAAATGTCAAAGCTCGGTAGTTATGGTAAACTCTTTTCTCTGCCATTTTAGAATGTTTTTGGTTTCCCATATAATCGGTCAGATTACGGAGTCTATTTGACCATCTTGTCGCTCTATCTCAACGACGCCTCGGCAATCAATCACACGGAGAAGATACCAACCCCAGATGAAGCGTCGAATCTTGCATCTCTTTTCTTGGTTACCATGGCGATAGGACACTATCTGCCTGTCTTTACTTTTTAACACAGCATTGTAATTAATGCGCTTGATAATGATGATAAAATTGTTTATCTTCGAGAGGAAGGAGCATTTCACAAAAAAAAAACTACGACTTGTAGATTTTACGATATCCAGTGTGTAATGATTATTAAGTATGATTCGTTCGAGTTTGTTTTCAATTTTGTAATTGTAATATAAATAACTGTTGTTGAAAATGATATCGGAGTTGGGTAATTTACTATGACGTCACGCACATGCGCAGATGAAGTGGTGAACAGAACGAAAATAAACAGCGCAAACGTAATTCTGTTACTTATTTGGACGTTTCATAAAATACACCCACTTAGTATTTTCATTTTTTTTTTCTCAATAATCTTAATCAAGACATTGGAAATTAATTACATACAATCTTTGAAAACACGACCTACTTTCAAAACGGGATTATCGTATGCACGTTTGGATGCGGCGCTGTAGCCCAGTGCTTAATTCGGAACGATAGCACATTATACTGATAATAGTTGTCGAAAGAGGGCGGCATACATGTTTGACTGTACACAGGGTTGACCGTCTTGCTATGTCAATATATTTGCGGGCATTGTTTGCTATTCGAAAATACTACAGCCTCAATATCAATGTAGTGTTATCAACGATCCCCAAAGAACCGATTTCCATGTGCGTATATATCTGTTTGAACATGAAATGTGGCAGTTATTGTGCGCCCTCCCTCAATATGCATTCAATTTATTGTTGAAGCAATGTTTTTTTTTATAACACTACTACTCTGAGCACACCAAGTTTGACTGTTTTCGTTGCCCTGTAGCTCACTATTTGAACGTCAGATATTGTCCAAGCCAAAGTTTTTACACAACATGTTTTTTGTACGTGTTTTTTCTATAAAAAAAACAACAACAGATGTTGATAAAACGAGACTAATATCCAATTACCTAATTTTTTTCTAAATTTTTGACAGAGAAGTGAAAAAAGAATATGTAGGTTTGTTTTGTGGAACATGATAGAAGTTTACTCCAGGATTCAAAGGGTTCAATAAGGGAAACCTCCGTGTAACTCCTTTCTTTGTGGTTCCATGTGTTTGTTGTGTCTGACAGCGTTCTTGATATACGTAAACCTGTCAAGTCTAGTGACAACAATCACTTACAATACATCCCTAGTCAGACAACCTTGTCGTATTTTTACTTTCTCTTACAGTTTGAATAGATTCCAATCAGAAAGTCGACGTTTTTGATAACATCTAAATGGCGACTCCCCCCTCCAGCAAATGGCCCTCGTAAATCAACTTGTCCCCAGCTGCGTTTTCCGACCACGTGATCATCGTGTCATGAACTATGACATTTACAATTAGCAGTACGCTCTAATTGGTTGAGAGCTTCCACCTTCCTCAGTTCCGGTTTTTCAATATCACATATACTCTAGAACGACTGTCTTCTTTTACTGTCCTACTCATAGACAAGGTATGTGAGAAGGTCTGTGCTGTCCTATATTCGACATAAAAGTCAATAATATAAAAGTCAATTCCCAAAGAATCAAATTCGAGTTAGCTGGAGCATTGGACTAGGTTCACACTTATATTAAATACGAAACAAAATCAAGAACAGGCAGACTGTGTTGAATAACAGGTTGATATTCATAAGAAAATAGTAGTTTTGTTTATCCGGAGTTCACACACGAATCTATTTGATGGGACACTTGTGTCATCGGCTAGTTATTTGTTTTGAAATGTTTGACTTAAAAGACAAGGCAGAAATAAAATATATACGTATATAAATAAAAACATTCTGAACAATTCGAGCACAAAACTAATTGCAGAAATGCATTATTCGCACATTTTTTAATTGAGTTGTTTGTGTTTTCTAATATGAAGGCAGTCCTGTTTCACCAACAACACATTTAATTGTGTACAGAGATTGAGGCTACAATGTGAACGCCCTCCCATTTAAATAATATTTTTTCATGAGCATTAACAAGTAAGAAAAAGTGTTTTACTCACTATTAACAAATAAACACACAATTTTTAATTCTAGTGGGACACCATCGACAATCAAAATAAAATAAATTTCTATAACACACAAGTCAAAATTGTAGAATACTACCACCATTCAAAATAGAGACACTTCTCTGTCCATTCATAATTATAGTGAAAAACCATCAACCAATTCATGACCATTCATAACTATCAGTGGTACGCCGTCACCAATTCACAATTGTAGATTACTCTCACCATTTCAATATAGAGACACCTCTCTGTTCATTCAAAATTACCAGTGGAAAACCATCACCAATTCAACATAAATTCATTTCTATAATAATTCACAATTGGGGAATACGAATACAAACCAAAGTGGTGACACTTCTCTGTCTATAGCAGTAACTCACTGTGTGGTCACAAGTTCAACACAGAGACACTTTTTAAGGATTCATAATTATCAATGGAACACCATCACCAACTCAACATAAATTCATTTTTTATTAATAATTCACAATTGTTGACTAATAATAGAAACCATAGTACAGACACCTCTCTGTCCATTCAAAATTATAGTGGAATCATCACCAATTCAACATAAATTCATTTCTATAATAATTCACAATTGCAAAATACTCTCGCCATTCGAAACAGAGACACTTCTCTGCTTATTCAAAATTACCAGTGGAACACCATCACCAATTCAACATAAACTCATTTCTATAATAATTCACAATTGTGTAATACTAATAGAAACCAAAGTAGAGACACTTCTCTGCCCATGTATATTTATAGTAGAACACCATCACCAATTCAACATAAATTCATTTCTATACTAATTCGCCATTATGGACTATCATCACTAGTCCAACAGAGACAGTTTTTTTGAGGATTCATAATTATAGAGGAACACCATCACCAATTCAACATAAATTCATCTCTACAACACTTCACAATTGTAAAATACTCTCGCCATTCGAAATAGAGACACTTCTCTGCTTATTCAAAATTACCAGTGGAACACCATCACCAATTTATTATAAATTCATTTCTCTGATGATTCACAACAGTGGAATACCAATAAAAACTAAAGTTGAGACACTTCTCTGCCCATTTATAATTTCAGTGGAACACCATCACCAATTCAACATAAATTCATTTCTATAATAATTCACAATTGTGAAATACTAATAGACACCGAAGAAGAGACACTTCTCTGTATATTAATAATTATAGTAAAACACCATCACTAATTCAACATAAATTCATTTCTCTGATAATTCGACATTGTGGAATACTATAACAAGTCAAACACAGATACACGTTTTGAGGATTCATAAATATCAATGGAACACCGTCACCAATTCAACATGATTTCTATAATAATTCAGCGTTGTAGAATATTAATAGAAACCAAAGTAGAGACACTTCTCTGCCCATTTATAATTATAGTAGAACACCATCACCAATTCACAATTGTAGATTACTCTCACCATTCAAAATAGAGACACTTCTCTGCTCATTCAAAATTACCAGTGGAACACCATCACCAATTAACATAAATTTATTTCTATAATAATTCACAATTGTGTAATACTAATAGAAACCAAGGTAGAGACACTTCTCTGCCCATTTATATTTATAGTAGAACACCATCACCAATTTAACATAAACTCATTTCTATAATAATTCACAATTGTGTAATACTAATAGAATCCAAAGTTGAGACAATTCTCTATTCATTCATAGTAATAGTGAAACACCATCAACCAATTCATGACCATTCATAACTATTAGTGATGCACTTTCACCAATTCACAATTGTAGATTACTCTCACCATTCAAAATAGAGACACTTCTCTGCTCATTCAAAATTACCAGTGGAACACCATCACCAATTCAACATAAATTTATTTCTATAATAATTCTCATTTGTGGAAAACTAATTGAAACCAAAGTACAGACACTTCTCTGTCCATTCTTAATTACAGTAGAACACCATCAACCAATTCAACATAAATTCATTTCTATAATAATTCACGATTGTGGAATACTAATTGAAACCAAAGTAGAGCCATTTCTCTAATAAATTCATTTCTATAATAATTCAAAATTGTGAAAACTAATAGAAACCAAAATAGAGGCACCTCTCTGCCTATTCTTAATTACAGTAGAACACCATCACCAATTCAACATAAATTCATTTCTATAATAATTCACGATTGTGGAATACTAATTGAAACCAAAGTAGAGACACTTCTCTACCTATTCATAACTATAGTGGAACACCATCACCAATTCAACATAAATTCATTTCTATAATAATTCAAAATTGTGGAAAACTAATAGAAACCAAAATAGAGGCACTTCTCTGCCTATTCATAATTATAGTAGAACACCATCACCAATTTAACATAAATTCATTTCTATAATAATTCACAATTGTGGAATACTAATTGAAGTAGAGACACTTCTCTGTCCATT